ATGAGGTTCGTCGACCGGTGCTGGACCGCGTAGTACCCGTTCTCTTCCGGGTGCGGCAGCATCGGGAGGTGCTCAATGTAGTACGCGGCGTCGCGGAGAAGGCTCATGTGCAAAGGTCGTGGGAAATGCGAAACTGAACCCGCTCCAATGATCGTCGCTGGCCACCAGCTGGTCACTTTGGCTGCGACACCTTGAAGGCATCCAAGCGCGCGGGACGACCAAAGACCAGCGCCGAACACGCCACCACGCTGCATGTGCTCGGCGCAGTCGCCTCTGCGCGATGGGCTGCGACTCGTGGGTGCGACGGTTGGGCTATGGACTCTTGGCCCTTGCAGCAAACCCTCCGCTGTCGTCCAATTCTTGCCACGTGAACAGAGCAAGCTTGGCCGCGTCTAGACCACCGGACTATGCATACAAGATTAGCTAGTACAGTACTCAGTACTAGTCTATATCTGCTAGCAAGGTATAGGTGGGCCCTCTCGACGGCAAGTCGCGGCTACCGCACGCTCCAGGAAGCGCGTCCTTTGGATCGTATAGCGAATGGTCCCGGTTCAAGCAGCGCATCGCCAAGCCGCTTCATCATCAATAGGCTGCTATATAGCTACAGTTCCCTATAGTTGGGTCATCGAAATCAATCAAATCGATATGGCCGTTGCGACCAAGCTGCCGGGCGACGCCAAGCGTCAAGCAGCATGTAGATGTGGCCGATCGCACCGCTACCGAGGACAATGCACCAGTGCAACACAAGAGGAGCTGGTGACACTCGAACACGGCTGAAGCTCATGCTCTCGGCCCAACCAATATTTGCCAAACATTCCGTCAAAAGTGAAAGACCACTGCACATCGTCATCATTCGTTTACATCCAATTCAGCTGCAGCTATGACAAAGTCCCGGACAAGCACTGTGAGCTCAAGTGTCGTCGGCCGCTGCGTCGGGTCCAGCGACAAGCACCGATTCCCGACCTCCAGCAACCAACTTGGAGCTGCCGCCGCAAACGTCGGTCGCAGTGCACCGGATGTGACTTTCGACAAGATGGCTTGCTGGCTCAGTGCTCGGCCGGACGAGGCGTTCAGAGCATCGCTGTAGGGAACCTTGTGCGTACTCATCTCAGACAAAATGACCCCTACACAAGATCAAACATCAGAAAATGTCAAAACCCTAACCCCAGATTGCCCTAGCCCGAGACCGTACCAAACGAGTAAATGTCGGCGGCCACCGTATACTCGGTGCCGAGAATGACTTCGGGCGCCATCCACTGGAACGTGCCAATGCCGTTCGTGAGCGTCTTTTGGTCGTCGAGAATTCGTGAAGTGCCAAAGTCGCTGAGTTTGGTTCCGTTTCTCGAATCCAAAAGCACATTGCGCGACTTGAGATCGCGGTGGATGATCACGGGCGCAAACGTATGCAGAAACACGAGACCGTACACGATGCTCTCGAGGATCGTCGCCTTTGTACTCCACGACACATTTTCCACCGTGGACGCGGCGAGGAAGCTGCGCAGGTCGCCGAGGTCGCAGTACTCGACGATGGCCTCAATGTCCATGAGGCGGCGCCAGCGCACACCCAGAAGTCGGACAATGTACGGGCTCTCGAGTCTACATCCAGAGAATGTCAATATAGCAATGATAGAATAGAAAGTAGAGACGTGTGGAGGAGCAGAATCTCGTGAATAAAGGCGTGGACAGAGGCGGGTGATGGGCTCTTGACGCGCTTGAGAGCGACGGTGGTGTGGGCGTAGATACCGCGCCAGACGTCGCCGTACGCACCCGAGGCGAGTGGCTTGGTGCCGCAGAGAACGATGTCATCGGCGTCGATCTGGAGCATATGGAGCGTCGCAATTTGACTCGGTCGGAGCGTTGACGCGAGGTAGTCGTCGTCGGCTGTTCGGCGCGTCTTGACCGCACGGCGCCCGCGCCGAATGGCGTAAACAGAGAAGAGGATGATACACACAAGGACAAAGCTCCCTCCAAGATAGATAGATGTGGTGTAAGGGTACATCCACGGATAGTCGTCGTAGGCGTCTACGCAGCAACAGTAGTCTAGACTATAAATTATGTGGTTCACATGACAGTACCCGTCTCCGGGCGGTTGCGGTCGGGGATGCAGACTGACGTGGCTTCCCACAGACGCTTGACTTGGCCACGCGCGGCCGTGCACTGCGCCACGTCTTGCTGAATACGGTTGACGCGGTAGCCGGTCGTAGCGTTTGGCAAGGCCGGCGCCAGGGCCGCGAGCGCTGCGTACGTAGCATTGTCGACCATAAGACTGGGCACGTCGCAGTCGTCACAGGTACTACGCTCGCCAATGTCAAAACAGGATCAGAACCAAAGTGCAAAATACAAGTAGCGCAGCTCGGTCGACACTTCGAGGCGCGAGATTGGCGTGCGCACGCCACCAAGCTCTCTACATCCTCAATGTACAAACCGTAGCCGTCGATGATTGTAGAGTGTACAGCGTGCGCAGTCCTTTGAGAGATAGCGAGAGAGGGAAGGTGTCCCAGCGTGTGACGCACTTGTCGAGGACGCTGCAGATGCGGTCAAAATGATCAACAAATGAAAACGTACAGATGCTGCAGAGAATCACCGACGCCGTTGAGCCAAAAGTCGCCCAAGCGCGAGTTCCGGAGCTCGCTACGTAGCATTGAGACAGGGATCTTGTCGGTACAGTATTCGGCGTACAGTCGTCGGAGGTGCTCCAGTCGCCAGAACTGGAGAGTGCCTCGCACCGAACTGTTGTTTAATGTCCTATCGACATCAAATTGTGCCTCTGGGGGGACTACATGAGGCCTTGTACAAGCTCTCGAGGGCACGCGGCAGCTGCAGTTGCTCGAACGCACCGACCGACGGCCCCATGTGCGCGTTCGACTCGGCGTCGATCGTCGCCTGCTCAAACACTCTGCGCAGACGCATGAGCCCATGGTTCGACGCCATCCTACTCACAAGGCGCGCAAATCGACGGGAAACTGCAGATAGGTGTGCACACTCGTGGCGCTCTGCACGTGCGCGAGTTCTCTAGTCCCCGATTCATTGACAGAATTAACCAAATAAGGACGTACAGTGTGTCGTATGGGTACCGCGAGAGGTCGCCTATGAGCCAGTGGCTCTCTAGATCAAAGCGCGTGGCGTTGACCGGCAAGACCTGAGCGATCGCGCAGTTGCGGTCGAGAAGGCAGGTCGCCGCCGCACCGCACGAGCCGTCGGCCACGAGCACGCGCTGCTGGTCGCTGAGGTCGCTGTAGCCGCACGCCTTTTGCATATAGCGAGGTCCCGTTGGCGTCGTGCGGGCGTCGTTGTGATGATGACGCTGACCGAGTGGCTGTCACCCAGAAGCGCGCCTCTCTATTGTCCAATATGTCTCTTTTGTTTTGTCATATATCATGTCTGTCTCATTGACAGGTCGCTTATAACGGTAGTGAGACACGTGTGAGATATGGTTTGAAAGCCGGACCAGATTGCCATTCACGAATGGCCGCCTGCAAGTACGACGACCTCAAGCCCGGCGAGACCATCTTGACCAACGACGGCTCGTGCGCGACAGCGTGCGTACTTGGTCGCAACTGCTCGGTCGTCGAGACCCTCCCGGCGAATGCGACGCGCTTCGACTTTGCCGCTGGCTACCTCCTCGGCGACCTCTCGCGCCACGAGCCGGCCAATCTGTTCGCCCGATGAGCTTTTCCTGTCGAGCTCACGCTCTGTATACTAGCACCATGGTCAACGTTCAAGACCGTCATTTGACGCACAAGCTATGTATTTTGAGCAATTTACCCCGTTTTGGTTAAATTGACGCCCTCGTCCACCGAGTTGTGACATTTTCCCGGGTCTAGTAGACCGATTGACAATACCGATGGATGTCCTCTCAACTACAAAATTCAATATCGCCGAATGCATCCTAGTTGGACCAGTACTAGTACAACAAACACATCATTCGCACCGACTAAGCTTAGTGTTAAACTCGGCTGGCGCTAGCGTTTACAAAGTCCCGGACGAGCACCGTGAGCTCGAGTGTCGTCGGCCGCTGCGTCGGGTCCAGCGACAAGCACCGATTCCCGACCTCGAGCAACCAGCTTG